AAAAAAAAAAAAAAAAAAAAAAAAAAAAAAAAGAGAGAAACAATACCTTAATTTGTAGAAAAAAATCCTGGTGAAAGCGGTTGTCAGTATGCTGAACAGTGTAGTGCTGTTTGGCCAGAATCTCGATGCGAAAAAAGCCGATGTGAGTGCCCCGAAGATGTCAACGGTATTCCTTACATACAATCAAAAACTCGCGACGGTGTCATCTGCATCCTTCAGCACGGTGAAGATGCAGATCCGGTACCCAAATGTCCACTTCCAGAATATGACGATGACTTATTGACTATGCCGGTTTCGCAACTTCGAAATCCTGCTATGACAGATCCAGACGATGCTGATGTTAGCATTGGTTTTTTCACAGCTGTTTTTTTTTTTTGCATTTTCTTTTTCTGAGGCTTAAGCGTCGTCAAATTTTAGATTCGTATGGGTGATCATATAAATCCGCTACAATTCTGCACTTCGACTTCAACGGATTATACAACTTTTGTGCCAAATGGTGGTGGGGCATGCGTCTATGCGGATCCACAGTCACTGGCTACTGGAATTTATATTGCCGATATCTATGACTGTGTTACGGCATCATCGATGTCGGGAGTAAAAGCAGCTATGGAAGGGGTATATGACGTCCATCCAGCTGCCGATGGCATCTGTTGTCCAAACCGAGGTAACTGACCATTAGCAATTTGATTATTGGAAAGAGATAATCGTAACTGTAGAAAACTTTCAGATCTCTGCTTTGCCTTATTATCCCTCAAAATTGAAATTTTTTTAAAGTAATGAATTGAAAAACGCTTTGTAAGGAAATGAACCTCTTTGTAGCATTCACCTGTATTCAACCGAAACGTGAAGCCGATACTGGAGCTGCAGCACCAGCTGGTGTACGACCCCGATGGTGGTATAATGCTGTAACTGGTACTTGTGAACAGTTTATGTGGGATCCGTGGGACGAAACGGAAATGCAGTCACCAAATAATTTCAAAACTCGTGAACATTGCGAATCTTACTGTCGCGACAGTAAGTCAATTTTTTTATTTTAATAAAAATATTTCTTTTTTTTTGGTTTTGCTTAGTGGTTACTAACCGCTCTTTTCGACGAGATCAATGAAGCGCAAATGGCTTGTTTTGCGCGGAATCTTCGTTAGCGATACTATACTAAAACAAGTGTACGGTAGTTGCCATATATCTGATATAATTTTGAAATAGCGATATTTAGCATGTAAACGAGGTTCTCCACAGTATCTTGCTGGAAGTACATTAAATGATGATGAACCTGTCAGTAACTGTCAGACTGCCAGCTCCTGCCTTTCTAACTATGAATGTAACACAGTTGGCTCCATGCAGTTATGCTGTCCGACAGTGAGTAGCATTTGCAGCAATACTGGTGGGAGACCCATTGACCCCTTGCGAACAACCAACTTCGATCCTGGTTATACTATCAAAAGGTTAGTTCTTGAATACAACAATGTAACTTATGGTTAAAATAAGGTTATTTTTGAAGAATATGGAATAGACGGCGATTTTTCAAAACTCAAATATTGATCAGGAGTACTGTAATTAGCATATCTCAGTATTTATTTTAAACAGTGCTGTTTTCCAGATCGTTTACTCTCACTTATGCTACCTCAAGTCGTTACTATTATGACGCTGAGCAAGGTCGATGTATACCATTTACCTACAACGGAGCCATTGGAAATTACAACAACTTCAAATCTTCGTCAGAGTGCGAACTGTTCTGCGCTAAACTTCAGTGTAACTACGGTACTCCGTTAAAAATCGGTGCCAACAATCAGAGATGCAGCAGCAATGCTGAATGCCCGAGTACTCATGAATGCCAGAGCGATCATAATGTATGCTGCCCAAGACCGCGTCAGTTATTTGTTAAAGATATTAATAGTTTTTTATGTTTTTTCTGGAAATCTTAGTCCACTTCTTTGATTTAAAATTGTTCAATAAGTTGGATATTTACTATTTTTATTGACTGCAGAGGCCATTTGTTCTCAACCACTACGTCTTGGTGACTGTAAGCAAAGCGTTCGTCGTTACTGGTATAATGCAGTAACTCGTGCTTGTGAAATCTTCGATTACACTGGTTGTCAAGGAAATGATAATAACTTTGAAACGTTGCTAGAGTGTCAAAATACTTGCGAAAATATTATTCGTAAGTCTTTAGTGTAGCTCTTATTTTAGGATAATGTGAAACAGTGCAGTAGGTGTTCTTATGTTGAACCCTGAAAATAACAACAGTTAAAAATAACTGTGGTGTAAACAGTGCTTCATTGTAGCGGAACCGCAGTGTCCACAAGGTGATGCCTATAAGGACTATCAGGGCAACTATTATGTGTGTTCAAATTCCGGAGCCGGTAATGTTTGCCCAGTAAACTACGAATGTTACTTTGATGGCTATGTTTGGGGTTGTTGTCCCACTAAAGCATATACATGCACATTATCATCGAACAAAGGTGTTACCTGTGGTTCTGGCAGCTCGTACAGATACTATTATAATTCTCAAACCCAAGAATGTGAAAGTTTCCAATATAACGGTATAATTTTGATTATCAAATTTTTCAACAGTCACAAAAGAATTAGAACTGTCAGTGGTTTTTATTTCACCTATAACAGTAGGCAAACGAAGTCAGCTGTAGAAGAGTAAATGAATGAAAAGTTAAGGTTGCGATGGGAACTCCAACAACTTTGCAACGCGTGAAGATTGTGAAAGTTATTGTGGCGTTGGAGGTTGTCCGAATGGTGGTACACCAGAGAGAAACGAATTTGGCCAGTTGATGGTCTGCTCCTCAACTGCTTCATGCCCAACCACACATGAATGTACTTCGGTCAACTCTGGTAGTAGCGTCGTTAATCGATGTTGCCCAACAAGAGGTAACCTCTAAATTCTTTTTTTTGGAATCTGTGTAACTAAAACTTCATTACAATACGACCTTTTACAGCTTTTATCTGTTCACTACCGCCACAACAGGGAAGTTCATGCAGTTCTTCTGCCGCAGCCCGTTATTACTTTAATATCGTTACAAAAGAATGTACACAGTTTACGTATAACGGCTGTAGCGGTAACCTCAACAATTTCGCTACTATTGAACAGTGCAACAATTTCTGTTTATCCGCTGCCTGTACTCCTGGAGACGTTGCTTACGTTAATCCAAATACCAGAATGCCTTATGAATGTAATGCTGGGCTGAGCAACAGTTGTCCTACCAACTTCGAGTGTACTTATGATCAGTTATCTGGTAACAGTGTTTGTTGCGGAGCTACTAGCATGGGTGTGTTTCTCTTTGTTGATATAATATATTTAGTATCGTTATTTGTTTGTATGCTTTAATTAAAGCTTGTCAGCTGGGGTCATTATACATTCAGCTTTCAATCAATTTTTTCAGTCGCATTTCCTGCAAGAACTTCTAGTAACTCAAATGGTTGAAAATTTGTAAAGCTTTTAAGCAAATATTCGAGTGTATGTGAAAATTAATTGCACTGATAGGCTAGGAAGCTTACAGATGTATGTCCCGATGGCGAAAAAGCTTACGTAAATGCAGTAGATATGAGCGTTCGAGAATGCCTTATTAATGTCGAGGGATCTTGTCCTTCGAATTATCTTTGTCGATTCCATGCAGCTAAAAATCGTTACTACTGCTGTGCCTCCATTACCGGAGGTAAGTATTGTTTTTGCGGCTCCGTACGAAAGCAAAAGTCATCAAGAAATTTATTTTTTATTCAAGTTATAAAAAATTTACAACTCTGTAAAACGGCAAACATTACACGCTTTCTTAAGAACTCTGTCCGAGTGGCAAAGCGCTATATAAAGAGCCCTCTTCGAAGAGCCCAATAAGGTGTACGATCAGCAGCAACAGCCACCAATGTCCACTTGGTTTTAGTTGCCAATCAGATGTACCTGGAGCATTCCAAGTAAATTTTCTGTTTTTGAACACCTTCCTTATTTCAAGAGAAGCTTACTAAAAGGAATGATTTAGGGTTACTGCTGCTCCACCAGTTACCTATGTCCCAACAAAGCCGAATTCTACATTGAAGAAAGTAACCAGATGCCTAGGTCTTGTACTCTAGGTGCATTCATAACCTGTCCAACTGGTTATACTTGTCAGAGCACACAAACAGATTTCACCACAGGTTACTGCTGTAAAGGAGAGGTCACCTCCATTGCAGGTGAAAATTAATAAATCATTTACTCAACAGGCTTCAAATGAATAATTATTTAAACTTCTTCCCTCTGCAACAGCTACATCCTTTTTAGATGGTTGCCCACCCAACGAATACGTTTACATGAAGGACAACCAGATTGCGCCATGCGACCCATTCAACCCACCAAACGCCCCATGCCCTCCTGGATACTCATGCCAATGGTCTCTATCAAACCAGAGGTATCAGTGTTGCGGTTCTGCCCCAGTCAGTGTACCAAAGTCAAGTGCTTGTAAGTCCTTAAAACAAATATTTTAATAACTTTGCCGGTTCCGCTTGGGTAATTTTCCTTTTGATTCAGTCGTCTCACTGGGCTGCCCAAATAACCAAGTAGCATACAGAGAACCAATGACACGGGGACCAAGAATATGCACTGCTGCTGCACAGAACTGTCCTATCGGTTACTTCTGTCAGTTTTCGACCGTCAATAATCAATTTCAGTGCTGCGGTATCGACGGAGGATGTCCGAATGAACAAGTAAAAACACCTTTCTCATTTCTGAAAACTACTTGGCATCGTATTCTTCTAAAGTGATTCTTCAGCACAGATTTAAGAAACCAAATTTACCTTTCTAATTTTCCAAGTTGCTGTTTATTGTATTGTTTAGGTGGCTTTCATCGGAGTGAGTGGAGAACCACAAACTTGTTCGATGGGTAGAAGCACGTGTCCTTCAGGCTACTCATGCCAGAGGACCCAAACTGGCGGATACATATGTTGTACTCTCGGCAAAGAGGCGAATGCTATAAGTCAGTGCAGCAACTAGTCAATGATATTATTTGTTTTTGAGAATTGCTCCGTCCTACCCCTACAAGTGTTCGTTTTTCTCAGTTTTCGCTTTCAGATTGTACTGAAAACGAAGTTCTGGTTGATGGGGTCTGTTTGGAAAAGGTTGAGATAGGAGAAGGATGCAGCAGCCAAATTCAGTGTATGGGTGGAGCAGTGTGCATCGATAGTATTTGTACCTGCCCACCAGGAACTACAAGTGTGGACGGGGTTTGTAAACAAGGTGAACTTGTTATTTATATATTTGAAGAAAAGATATGGAAAAAAATTTTTTTTTGTTGTTGATCTTTTCTTTACCGAACTCTGAGGAATTAGGGGTGAATGGTCTCTAACAATAGCTAAAATTAAAACCATTTGCTTCACTGTCATCTGGAATTTATTGCAATCGCAATTTTTCGCTGCAGCTTCCGTACTGCACTGATAGTAAAGTAGATCTACTCAATCAATACCACCTGTTAACTTTTTCCTTTCTAGGCTGTTTGCCAAACCAAATTAATGTCAATGGGGTCTGTCTGGACAAGGTTGGACCTGGTGAACTATGCGAATTGACAGAACAATGTCAAGGCGGTTCTTCTTGCGAAGATGGAGTGTGCGAATGCCCAACTGGACAAAAAGTAATAAACGGCAAATGCGTTGGTATAACAGGAAGACCAACCACCACTTGCCCAATACCTGGACAAGTACCTTATGTTGAACGTGGGACCCAAAAAGTACGTTTTAAACCTAAAGTATTGCCAGTTATTTAAGAAGAATCGAGGTTTTCAGATTAGTAGCAGTGAAAGCACAACAAAAATATTATTACTCAATCAGCATTTCTTTTAAGGTAAGATTCTGCTCAACCAAAAGAAACGTCTGTCCTAAAGGCTACAGCTGTCAGTTTAGTCAAACAGCCCAGCAAAACATTTGCTGCGGAAGACCAGGTGGCAGTAATCCAGTATCATCTCCACAATCAACGCTAACTTCATCGACAAAAGGCCGCACCGATGTATGCGAAAAGGGGCAAGCTTATTTGGTCAATGGCGTCCCGCAGCAGTGCACAACTACTCCCTGCCCGAAGGGTTACGAATGCACATTCTCAAAGAGGGCTAAGAACTACTACTGTTGCAATAAGAAGCTTTCAGGTTGCTTAATAGAAACTAGTATAACAAACTGATAATTACACAGATAATTATTTTACGTTGTAATTTACCTAAATCTTGTAATTTATGACCAACTTCTAAATTGATAAGTAAATTACAGCTAACGGATGTCCATCTGGAACTGCTCTGCTTTTCCCGTCAACAGGAACACCTGTGCAGTGCAGTAGCAAAGGCCCGAATTCATGTCCATTAGGATACAGGTGTATCAGGAGTACTAAAGGAAAAGGTTATCAATGTTGTACTACCGTATCTCATTCGAATCATATGTACAGCAGAAAGGATAATGTAAAGAGTCGACAATCATCAAGTAAGCGTGCAAAACTAGTTTCATAACTTCATACTGTTCTAGTGTTCTCCCTTCAAACAACCAGAAAAAAATTCCAGCACCTTGTCCAAGCTATCAAGTCCAAGTGCAAAGAATAGTCGATGGAAGGATAGTAACAAGATGTGAAAGCAGTTGCCCATCACATCAAATAGCTGTAAGGGGCGTCTGCAAGGATATCATCGTGTAGTCTAATTTTGTTGAAATTTGCTAAGCAGAATTTTATTCTTTTCCTGTAATTATATTGTTGACAGTCATATTGTTTTTTAGCATATCGGTTGTGTTGATTAACCGGTATCAAATGTAAAGTGCTTTATTGCGCTAAACGTTAGATTTCCTTCCAGCTATCGTTCCAGCCATTTCTCATTTAGGGCCCGATGTACAAAGAC